CTGCTATTCCAGACCCTGCAGTTGTGGATTTAGTGCTGGAGATAAATTATATTATCTGGGAGGAAATCCACCTGCTACAGGAACAGTTTGAGAGCCTGACGCTGAGGCAGCTGTTCGGCATTCACCATTTTGCTGCTTCCGACAAGAACATCAGATTCTTCACAAGGTAGATGTGTGTGTGTGTGTGTGTGTGTGTGTGTTATACAGAGTATGAAATTATTTTAGGCAACTTTTTCATTTGTTTTATGCAAAAGTAAAAACTTGTTAGAGTGTATATTACAGTGTKGACACAACCCGAGCGCCCCACCCCTCCTGTACCGAGAGCAGCAGAACCTCCGCCTGAAAATCATTCCCTGTTTTCAGTMCACCAACGTCAGGYCAYCATGGTCCAAAACAAACAAGTAGCCCATCAATTTAAAGTCCAGACTCTGTTCTTTCCAACAATARAAGTGWCACTGCTCTACATGAAAAKTCCACACAACAKGCAGCCAAGGAATAGTGAAAAAGGCTTYATTCTGGACGTCTTACCTTTTTTTATGGGCTTTATCTGCTTTAGAGTAATTTTTTCACTTGGCTGGACTTTTGTCATCTTCTGCATATCCTTTGTTAATATTGGTACATGTAACATGCAAATCCTGTACTGTGGACAGCAGCCAKCAAGTGAAAAAAMCCTACGCTAACACAGTGTTGTCTATGGCCAAAAAATAGGGAAGTGCCAGAACAGAAGTCCGTGGCATACAGGCTATTTGACGCAAATRCCTGGGAGGAGTTTGAAGATGGGAAACTTACACATCGACTGATGCTCAGGCAAAGGTTGAGACAGATGGGTGTTGCTAGGCCTCTGTYGGGAGAAAACAGTCAACGGGTCAGTTGACTTGCTGAAATATTAACTCCTCAAACTTTCCCACATACAAACACAAACATACCTGTGGATGTTGACGTGCTGGAGGGGCAGCCTGAGGTAGTCTTTGTTGCTGAACCGCTGTAAAGAGTGGTGACAGATAGTAAATCACCTGTACTTTTGAATATAAAACCTTTTACTTACATAGAGTAAAATTCATGACAGATTTGTTTTTTCACAAGAGGACACTCACTAAACACAATATAAAGAAAATATTTTGCCACTGTTTGGGTTGTAGGAAAAGGCCCCGTGTAGAAAGAATCTGTGTTTTTCTTGTAATTTTTTTGACACCTATGTTTACGCTTTCACTGTTTAAAATGTTGTTCAACGTTTTTTTTTTTTCATCAACATCGCGCGCGGAAAGCTAAGCCCTGGTAAACCCAAATTATAAATCAATGTTGTGATAAAAACTTTTGGAGTCCAAGTAAAGGGTTACAGAAGTTCCTGTGATCCTTAGTTTATACTAAAACTTCTTTTTTATTTACATAATTTATCCTTAACATACAGTATTATTTAAAAAATACTGGTGAGAGACACAAATAGGTATGATCTATGCATTGTTGGAGTTAATATAAAATAGATTATAGCTCTGAGTTGTTTAAATGATTGATACAATGTTTAATACCAACAAATGATTTCCACCTGCCACCTGGACACACGACACTTAGTCATCCTGATCCACAGATCACCTGATCTGTGTGATCATTTACTGCAACTGTGAACAACATTTTCAGTTGCAGGATGAGTCATTTCTACATTCTTCTCTCTGTCAAGGTGCTTTGGTTTCATTTAAAAAGGCTGATTGTCAGATGTGTCTAAGAATAACCTTTACAATAGATAAGAGTTTGCACCAGAAAATCTACGTCTATGTCATTATTTACCCGGTATGCATTGCAGCGTTAATAAAATAGCTCCTTCCGTGTGACAATATATATTTTAAAATTTATGAAAACTAAACAGCCTACAGTATTTTTACAGTATTTGTTTTACAGTTAAAATAAATGATTACCACATAATGTCTAATGTTACAAGTAATCGTGGATCCCTTTAACAAATAATAAACTGGTTGGAAATCTGTTGTGATTTTTTTAAATACACTAAATTACCAGATCATGTTTATGATGTTCTGACATGTAAAACTTGCTTCCCGCTGTAATTTGGAGTGTTTGAGAGAGGGTGAAAGCAGCTCAGATGTTACTGAATATTTAGTTTAAGCACTTGACGATATGAGATGAAGCAAGTTTGTTCAATGTAGTGTGAGCGGATTGGGATTTTTCTAGATTGAGCTGAATGGTGAATTTAGGCACGAAAACAAAATGAAAAATATGCAAAAAGAAGGAGAATTAACTCKATAAGAAGCCAGTAACAAAAATTTGAGTTGATTCACCAGACTAGAGTACTTTAAGGCTAGATCAGAACCAACTTCATAACATTTACGGGGGGAGGGGGACTCTGGATGAGTGGCAGATGTTACCTTYTAATTAGAGATTTAGGGTTCTGATCCCCTCTGCTTGCTGGATTGTTCATGGACTAAAAAAATGAGCTCCCTGCTGTCTCTGATATGCTTCTCAGTGTATGAATGTGAACATAAAGTGTTGCATAGACAGTAAAATATATAAACGTGTGTATAGGTAAATTGAGAAACATTATAAAGGCTCCATCACACTTTAACGTTTTAGCKAATTTATGCTGACTCAGCACAACTTAGTGGTTAGCACTGATGCCTCACAGCAAGAAGTTGTTCGGTGTGGTGTGATTATGTTCTCCTCGTGRCTAAAGCCTGAAACATACTCGCTCCGACGCCGACGGGTCGACGCGCGGTCACATGGTTGTTCGGCAGTCGTTTTCGCACAGACCTTTCATAGTCCCTACAACACCCCGCGCCAAGTTCGGGAAACCCCCCCTCCCTGAAACATACGTCACTGCATGGAGTTCCCCCGCAACAGCCGATAATGCAGAAAAAAAAGAAAAGTCAGATTCGTAACTCGCCCGACGTATTTATCCACATCTGTCCTGGTTAAAGCTCCACAGGTTTTCTGTCAGATTCCTCCGTGCACAACGTCTGTTTAATCTCCATTCATGAGTTTTTCACAGAATGACTATCTTTATAAAACTCTACTTCCTGGTGTCGGCTCTGGGAGCGAGTCTGGGTTTTTTTCTCCAATTTTTTTTTTTTACCGAGTGCAGCAGCTCATTCAGCACAAACAAACAAGCCAATTAGTTTTTCATGGTTTGACTAGCTTATAAAACTCTGCTTTCTAGTCTGGGAGCGAGTCGTTCTTTTTTCTTTTTTTTTCCCCCGAGCGCAGCACAAACAAACACGTCCACCACCAATCAGATCAATCATACATTACTGTCGACACGGGAGGGGGGTCAAAAAGTTCTGCCGGTGGGTTGTGCCAAAAGAGGCTGTCGACACGACGCTGCGAAGCCCGGTGACGTAATTTTCGTCATTAAACTGCGACAACCCGTGCCGACGTCGGCAGTTCACAGTGAGTATGTTTCAGGCTTAAGTGGGTTTTCTCCGGGTACTCCGGTTTCCTCCCACATATAAAAACGTAGGTTGCCGTCAGGCCCAGGCCTCCCTTGTAAAAAAAGATCTGTGATTGCAATGAGATTTGCCTGGTTAAATCAAGATTACAATGCTCTAGCAATGCTCTGTTTACATGCAGATATTCCTTTGTTGTCACTTCCTGTTACTGCACATGCATAATATCTCAACAACTGTGCATCTCAGCAGTGTGTTTTTTTTTTGTTTTGTTTTGTTTTGCAACAAGTAATGGTATCTTTCACTTTAAGTCTGTAGTTCAGGGCTATTCAACTAAACTGCTCCGGGGCCCAGAGTTACTGCAGGTCAAGAGCTCAGGGGACGAACATCCATCAATTAAAGTTATAATGTATAACAAAGATCTGTTACCTTTGAATTAGCTTATTTTACTGTATTTAATCATGAATACAACATACACAACCGTCTAAAATAGTGATAATACAACAATACAAAAAAACAAAAACACATTATG